AGATATTTTTGTGGATCTAATTGCGACAGGCCAAAGGTAGTATAGAGGTAAGTGGTGCACTACCACACACGCCAATCCATGGTTCAAGTCATGGATCAATTCCCGCTCAGACCATCGATTGGTCACCGCAATTTATTGTACTTATGTAGGTAGAGAACGCATTCTTGATCCTGATTGAAACTTTAGTGCAGGACGCATCTCAGAATTGATTAACGCCAAAGGACTTCATCGCATACCCGCAATGGCTGCTTTCATAGTCCGCGATTTGGTCCGCCCCCGTCGCTCGCTCGCTCGCGCGCTCGCGGGCCAAATCGCGAACTATGAAAGTAGTCAACAGCTGCGATCAGCTATCGATAAGACGTAATTACGCAGTTTTGAAAAAAAAACCACAAAAGCAAAGTAATTAGTCATATTTTCGAAACAAAAAACAAAAGAATTGAGGCATGTGCGATATTTATCACCTGGTGGTCACAATGTTTCTGCATCTTTTGTTATTGTTACGACAATGTTTGCAAACGTTCTCCATTGCGATACAAGATTTCACTGACTTGTTTCCAGATGACCGTGAAGCTTTGGCTAGGAGTTCTCCTGGGCTTTGCAACAATTGCTGGACTAGTGCTTACACTAACTGTGTTGTATGCTGTAATAAAGCTGGGTATAATCACAAAGAAGAACCCAATCTATGTTATTTCTGCTGCTAATATGATGTGTGATACAATTCAGCTACTGCTGGCACTTCTCTACCTCGCACCTTCAATAATATTCGACGTATGTCATTACAATCATTGGACCCTCATTTAAGGGCCCTCAAATTTTAATTATCCGACAGAAATCGTTCAGGATTGGATTTTCAAAGGTGGTCGACGCGGTGTAATGGTGGAATTATTGAGCGCAACATTCCTCGCATGTTGGTATTATGGTTCAGTTGCTCAGATACTAATGGCCGTGAATCGGTACGCCATGACTTTCTCAAGAGTTCTAAGGATTTCATTAAGATGGAACCGTTTCAGCCTGGTTGTCGTATGTTTCCCTACAAACTCGATATTTTCAATGAGGAACGTCTCTATTTTCGTTATAATGCTTCTACCTGTGGCAATCTTTACATCATGGATATCTCAATATGTCATGCCTTGTTGCAAGTAAGTGAATTCTCTTCATACACATATTTAAATAATTAGAAGGTTCATAAGGGACTCTCAGATCTCTAAAAAGTCTGTAATGAGGTGTACGGTAGGAATGTACTGTCCAAAACTCCAAATGGTTCAGATTTTGCTGAAATGTTCTGGAAGTTCCCTTAAAAATGTGATAAAAACTGCTTCTCGGGTACGCAGAACATATCAGGAGTCTTCTTGATCTTCCAATCGGTTGTCAGGGTCGACTTACTTCTTCACCTTTGAGTTTCCGACTTTGAAGCGTTGGAAAGAGGCGTGCATGGGACTGCTTATAAAGGTTTCAGGCCGCAAAATTGATAACAACTCCGATGAACTTCAGCGTCCTGGGCGATTTCGAACTGTGAAGTATTACGTGTTGTATATAGGTAGACAGGTCGGCTATATATGGTTAAATGAGCAAGGGAGAGGCAGCCTGTTATACTATGCGTATGCGCGTGGGTAGTGCCTTTATGAAGAAACCCCATAAAAGCCTGCAAAACTTTCAGATAAAGCACCTCCAGATGCTTTCCTAGATACTTTCCAGGCGTCCCACCCTTTATAATGCTCTTGTTCGTTAGAGCTTCCTATCTACTTGAGTTTAAACTTTTGAGGAATACCATTCTTCATCGAGGTTGATCTGACTGTACGAAGTGAAGACTGCCTCAGGGCAGCTCCATAGACTGCTGCGTACCATCCAATTAATGGCGATTACTTTCAGATTCAGCTTCGATCACAAGTTTCTGTCTTATTCCTATACATCCATAGAGGATGTTTTCAACTATTCCAATAGCTATATCGATCTACCATTAAACTCATCATCATCAGCAATCTGTGCTATCTGCTATACCTATGTAGGTGTTCACTGTTATTTTTTGGAATATTCAAGTTCAGGAAGATGTTAATGAGGCATATTTCAGATAATTTTCTATGTATGGAAAATGAACCATCTCTACATAAAAGATGCTGCTGGAAGTAGAAATCGTATGAAGGAGTACAGGTGAGAGCAGCAGGACTACCCTTTTAGTAGTGGCCCATAACTTGTCGGTGATGGGACCATTCCTGTTTGTGAGCTATTACTGCCTTCAAGATAAGTGGCGCGGTATCCCCTCCGCAGGTATGTGTATTACTGCTATATGGAAGACTTACCGTAATCGCGCATACTGTTTGAAGTCTAAACTCTGGCGTTAATCAATCCCGTCTGAGGGATGCGCCCCGCATTCGACTTCCATTCAGAATCGTAGTGGCGTAATGAATGCGAATGTGGCCTATACAATGACTTGCGGTGGCATGACCATTGTACTAGTCACTGCGCTTTTATCATCTCAGAAAAGTCTGGTACCAATTGGCTTACCTTGGAGGGATGGAAGGCTTGGTTGGCCTAGGCGAGTACCGATGAGGAGTTCCATCTCCGGCGCGTGCGTGTGTGATAGCGCGCCACTTGCCCCTAAACCAGTTCCCTCTATGCTGCTCAAGAAACCGTTTTCCATCCAAAGTTTCTATGATCTACCGTCGAGTGATTTTCCAAAGCACGTATTTTCCAGATATGCTCTTCAATTCTGTGCCATCTCAATGTTCTATCTTGGGGCGTGGGTGACATTCCGAGTATTCCCAGTCTTGATCGGAGATAGAGGTGTAGAATATTTTATCGTCGTTTCGATGTGTGTCACGGTAAATTCGTCAGCTAACGCCTTCGTCTACATAACATCGAATCAGGAGGTTTGCCTTGCTGGTTTTTAATTAGTGACTGTACACACCATGCTTTACGATATTGTTGAAATGAAGGGTTCCAATGTTTTTGCGCCTTATTTAACCTACATTCCTTTTTCATGGACGCTTGTGGGGCCAAATTATATTAGGAGCTCTTTAAGTGGCCAGGCTTTGGAAGAATCTCCAGATCTACCAGTACCGAGTGACTTTTATAATAAGCGCCCTGAGTTCGCTGTAGTGAACAACCAGGAAGTTTAGTGGATGCTAGCAGATAATGAAATGACACCAGCCACTTCTTTTCTACCATCCGATTCTGGTACAGTTGTATACTTTGAAACTGAGCTCTCCAATGGGAACACTGAGCTAATAGGCATGTAACAAAGGTACGAGAGCCCTCCCCTATGCCAATCCAGAGATGCTCGTTTTCCTTATTCATTACCTATGGGTGATTACATTACCATTACCCGACAGATAACTAAATGTGATACAGTTTGATCTAAAGATATCTGTAGTGAGCCACTGAAAAACTCCGAACTGCACTGAGGTCGCTGACCTCGCCCAAAATAACTGCCCGTCCCCCTACCATCCGTTAGCTTCGAGCTATATTCAAAATCACTATTTCCAGGTGAGGACTGTTCTTTTGTCGAAGCGTCTTAGCACAGTGCATCATGTGAGCAGCACTTCTCGAGCTGAAGGTGGAACAACGCAGAAGACTCCAACAACGACAGCTAATAGGAGCGTTCATGTAACAAAGGGCTAGTCTTTCTAGACGATCACCAAAAATTCTGATGAACGTGCTTGTACATATAGAAAGAGGTTGTATATTCGATGTGACATTGTTTCAAGAGAAAATTGTTTTTAATCTCTGAACTGCGGCACATTGTTTACAGAGCAGCCCAGATGAACATACGTCTGGGAAAGGGTTTCACACTACAATTGACTAAACTTGTATTCTGGCTCATCATAGACCAAAAATTGTTTCAAAATAATTATGTGCGGGCATATCACACGGGGGCCAGATACCCTTTTCAGTAACCTTCGCATTTAGCGAAGCGAAACAAAGTACAGCAACACTATTGCAAAAAGTTTACAATCCCACTCAATTCCTTCCCATCCTCCGCTTCTTCTCCATGTGCAGACGAGCGAGGGAGCCTTTGAATATTTCAAAACCCTGATACGTTTCGAATGTATCAGTTCGGAAATGGATAAGCCCATAGGGATAGCCCAGCCCACCACTTATTATTCGGTATAATGTCCTATCCCTATGCTACCCGCTGAATTAATTTGCTAGAGCAAGACAACAGTGGTGCCGCTTGTACTTCTCTTTCCGCAATAAACTTCACATTTTTTTTGGATAGACATTGTCTTACTACTACTTTAAGATGTAAATAACTTTATATGTTGTATATAATCTTATTTATGTTCAGAAAAGTTGTTTCGGTGTTGTGTGGATCTCAGTCGATAAAGGTTTGTCAGTGGTATACAGGGAACACTTGCACATCTATTTGGCCATGCCATCAAGATCGTTTTGGAATTCGAATTTACGCAAATTTCTTGAGGTGTGGTGCAGTTCAATGATTCATGGTTGACCTCTTCGCCGGACACGTCCTGTTTGCATATATCATTGGAGGAATAAGGCCTTTTCAGTGTTCCAAGAAGTATTAGCTAATAAAACAACGAAGTTCTCTCTATCGGTGTCACTTTCCGGATTTTCTCGTGGAGCCATCTCAATTCATCAACTCAAGGCGATATTCGGAAAAGGCTCCAAATCACTTATCATCAGCGGACAGTCAGCCAGTGACTCAACTATTTTCTTGACTTGAACTTACATAACAAATTAGGCTAGGTATGGAACTTAGTAAAATCTTGTCTTGCGATTTATCACACAGATGAAAAATTCTTTATTTACTATTTGGTTATTGTAAAAATCAACTTGGTACTCATTCGATGGGTCATCAAAAAGAGTGCTCTGAGGACGATAGGATTGAAACCAAAATGATCCCCTGCGAATAGCTGTTAAGGCATCAAATTCATTCACATTTCGAAAATAGGCACCCTTCAGTAAACAGCATGATCGCAGAGAAGCAAATCAAACAAAAAAGTGAAAGTCCCAAAAAATATTGCTATCGATTTCCCCAAAAATTACTGTTGTATGCGAATTCTCTGCAATGCTGTATAAATCAGGATTGTTGCACATCTCTGCATGCTTAGAACTCATGCAGAACACTTCACCTTCTCGGTCTACTCACAGCTGAAGAAGGAGTCCCAAGAACTATAATAAAATTATGAATGGTA